TTTTAGCTAATTTCATCAGTCTGTGGAATTTGGGACGATGAGAAATACAAATAATCCAAATGTATTTGTATTTGATACCACAGTTACACATTAAAACCAAACGTATTATGATGTTCTACGTCGAATTTTGCTCCGATTTTCATCAGAAATTTTATTATTCCATTTTCAACACGCTCAGGTAATACATGTCGAAATTAATCACTGCCTCACAATATAGAGGGATTCAAAATCCATTTATCTCAACAGGATGGCCATTATAACGGTAGAGCATAATAATTGTTTATCTGATGTATAACAATAAAGTAACATGATATTCGGGCTATATTATTCCAGTTATATTAGTTATAGGAAAACAACTTTACTCTTGTTATTACCGAATTCCGATTAATTATGGATGGGCTGTTTAAGTATGGCAGAATCTGATTGTTTGGTACAGAGCAATAAGGTGATGCAATTGCAAAATGGTCGTAGAGTGATTCATAATACTCGAATTGACTTTTTGGGATAGTATTGTCACGAGTAGAACATACGGTATATTAGTAATGGGTTCTATAAACATAAAGTTAATCAAATCATCCGTTGACATTGAACTATGAAAACTGACCAAGGTACCCAGCGAGCACAAACATCCCTGGGATGTTTTGGGATGTTTTGAAAATGTTGGCATAAAGATGTTATTTTGAGACGTAATATGCACTGACCAAAGAGGTCTTTGAAGGATATTGAAGTATTGTTTTTGTTCTTCTGTGGCATTTCTTTGTTTGCCTACTGAGAGGTATCCCCTGGGATGTTTTGGGATGTTTTAGAAATGTAGGCATGAGGATGTTTTTTTGAGACGTAATATGCACTTCCCAAAGAGGTCTTATAGAAGGATATTGAAAGTATTGTTTTTGTTCTTTTGTGCCCTTTCTTTGTTTGCCCCACCACAACGTCTCATGCTTACGTCACAATACGATGAATTCTGATTTGTTTTCGATTTTGTTCTTCTTGTTCGCAATTGGCATTCGCGTTTGCAGCGTCGTGTCACGCTTACATCACGCTGCTAACGAACAGAAAGGAATTTGGTGAAGTTTATTGTTTTAGAAGACTTATTTAGTTTGTAATAATGACCATCAGATGCAAGATGTGTTGTTCGGTGCCTCAGTGTAATCAATATATAAAATATAAGAAATCAAAGAAATTACCAAATTTCAAAAATGAAAACTATATGTGAGTAGTAAGTATTCACTTTTGAATCACAACCGGATTCCTTCATCTCTCCCTGCATTTTTCGTACATTGTACAACAGCACAATGTGATGGCATGAGCGGATTAATGAATAGCCGAAAAATACGATTCGTATGCCAAAATAATTGTGAAAAGCTATTTCAATCACTTGTAAACAAATAAGAAAAGTGAGGTTGTGTTTCAATGTTGTTTCTCCAGGGTCGGTCATCTGACAGTTCTTGCAGCGACGTCGTGATACACCACAAACCACAAAAGTGAGGTTGGGTTTTAGGCGTGATTCTGACTTCTCCCCATTTGAATTTCACCAAGGTCGTAAACAGAAACGATGAACTATTCGAACAGACATCTATTCTGCTTCCGTAAATTGAAATTGAATAAATTATATCCTCTTTATTCAATTAGTCATCCAGATCCGCCTGACAGCCACTTGTTTACGAGAAACCTCTTCGTACAGATCAATATCTGGATCACTTTTTGATAATGTGTATAATTGATCCCTATATTCGAGCATGCTTCGCAGGATATACCGTTTTTCAATGTTTCGACAGCTTTTGATGCCCATACTATACAGGGTTATCCTAATTAAATGTTCGTCATTGGTAATTTTTAAACTTTCGAAACTACGACATTGGATGGATCTGCAAACTAAACTAAACTAAACATTAGTATTTTTTTCTGCTGATTACAATGGTGAAAACAGAAATTGAGTATCATGATTTTGAGTTATCAATCAAAACAATAATATGTTTAATGGAACACACTGTATACACGTACCTTTCTGGATTCTACTTGAAATTCTAAGTATTTTCCATATAACATAGCCATGTTCAATAAACTATTCTCGAGATATTGACAGTATATTTCATTTGTTCAAAAAATTGTAAAATTCGCAGTCTCTCAATTTTCAACTGTACAGATGAGCCGTTCTGTCAAAGGAATTTATGTATTCAAAAATAAATAGGCTGTGCTCCATCCACATAGAAAGGACATCAAATTATTGCGGAATTACAAAATAATATCTCTGAAACATTGATTTTTTTCCGTGGCATCAGATCAGTCGTATAAATCCTGCTCCTAAATGGAGAACTTAGATTATGCTTGACTTTATAGGTGTCGGGTAAATTAATGGAAAACGGTTTTACTACCGTTGTATATAGTATCTTTATTTAAGAAAGTCGTTAAAATCTTTAGCACTTGTCGATTTATTCTCCAATGTAGCTTGTTTATATTGCAGAAGCAAGGTTTTGGAGGAATGATTGCATATTATTGGATTAGGGCTTTCATCATCTTCATTATTATATTATTGGATTATCCTAATAAATTATGATTCCCCCATCAAAACCAAGAGAGATATAAAGAGTTATTTTTGAAATATAATAATTACTACATAATTAATTATAGCGTCATCCAATGAGGTAACTTGTTTCTGAATCGAACAAGGTGATTTTTATTAGCCACATTCGATATTGAAGAGGAATATTCTAAGTTAAAATTATGAACATAAAAATATGGATATATATACATAAAAAAATACATTGAGAATTTGCATTCTCTATGTGATAGAAATATCAATTCTTCCTTGGTTTTATTCAACAGAAAACAACTACTTTCCTGGCTATATGCCACGACTAACATTGAATTATATCTATTGAACACACATGGTGAGAATTTGTAAACAAAATATTCTGAAGTAGAGAATTTGCATTCTCCTTCATATAAAGTTATGTATATATGCACATAATATCATTCTGAATACTTCTCCTATACATTTCAATTTTCATTTCAATACTGAACATGTTGGTAAGTTATATTTTTATGTCATAATACATTATATTATTTTATCCGATTTGAGAGATAATGCCAATTCTCAATTTCAGAGGATTTTCAGTTTTCATGCTATCTTTTTGGGTGTTGAACTGATATAATTCAATATTCGACGGGGCATATAGCCAGGAAAGTAGTTGTTTTCTGTTGAATATTCAGAATGATGTGTGCATATACATATTTTTGTCTGAAGGAGAATGCAAATTCTCAATTTCAGAAGTTTTTATATTTTATTTTCAAACTCTCATCGTGTGTGTTCAATAGATATAATTCAATGTTCGTCGTGGCATATAGCCAGGAAAGTAGTTGCTTCCTGTTGAATAAACCGAGAAAGTATTGATATTTCCATCACATAGAGAATGCGAATTGACAATGTTTTTCCATGCATATATCCATTTTTTGATGTTGATAATTTTATCTGAGAATATTCCATTTCAATTCTCTCACCCAATCGAGGGGTTCAAACTTGAACGATAGAAACTTGTAATTTTCATAGACCTTCAATCGCAAATTCGGGATTAGGTTTTCTCAATTCAGAATTTCTTTCCACGTCCTGTATGATGAATATCAATTTATCATACATCCAAAAGAAATACATTCAATGTATTAAGTTGCTACTTTTAAGTTCTCCTCTGGATGGGGTTTCGGGTTTCCATCTAAATCTATATTGTTTGCTCAAAGCTCGTACTATAGACAATAATTATTACTCTCAAAAGCATTTCATCTACCTACCTTCTCATCGTGTACCTAATAATTATTTCGAAGACTATCACCTTCTAAGATGAAATGGAGGATGTACTGTAACCCTTTTATATGTCATCTTCCATAATGGACAATTTCATCGAATGCTATTATACAATCAATAATTCCATTTAATCATTCTATTCAATCGCTCGAAATTCAGTAACGATATTGAGAAGCGGTATCTTATATTGGAACAATACCAGAACCGACTGTCAGAAGCACATAATAAAGAGTTTCAACTAGAGATTTAAATTCATTCCACTTGATTAATTGAGATTTTCTCTCCTCGTTTCTTTCAAATGAAAAAATGATTATTATTTCAATATACAGGCTGATTCACGGTGGATGGCATAGTGGGGTCGGTTAACTAAAAATTCTACCAAAATATTTCACATCTGGCAACCAATGCGCCCTTTTGGATTCAGATAGTACATGGGTAGACGCGTTGAAAAAGTCCGGGACACAAATTTTTCTAGCACTCTAGCGGCGTTGATGACGCAATCAATATGGCCGCCATAGTTTTGTGGCAAGCTTTTACATTTCCCTGTGTAACTCGGTTTTGTATTAGAATATTAACCAATATCATTAGTGATTATTGATGAGGAGAAAATAGGCTTTTCAACGGTATAAAATACATTATTGTTTAAGTTTGTAATTATAGAAATATTTGTAACATAATTATTTTTTTTATTCAATTTTGGTTTCTATCGAAACATTTTGCTGAATTACTCGAAACCCGTTGCAGATAGCCAAAAATGTGTCGAATACTTTTTGTTCATCAATGAGTTGGCTTTCGAACGGTATATATAACTTTCATTTTATAAGGAAGAGTTACTGAAAATGTGTGAAGACAATGTAGCATTGCACAGTTATGGCAAGAATGTAATTTATATAATATATATGTATAAGTAGCGAATGTATTTATTGTAATTTTTTATGTATATCAAATGAATTGTATCATGTTCATTGTAATTGAAACCCTTTTCCGTTTCAAAATCAGTGATAGGAGTCATACCTAAGATGATTGTGAGATACGTTTCAATCAATAGGTACACGAACGAGAAATGAAAGAATTCAAATACAATATTATTTTAATTTAATATGCAAATTCAGTACATATATTGTAGAATAAACTGGTATACAAAAAGAATAATAAGGTGCAATAATATTTAATGGGGTTGGAAAACTAAAAATTCCACTTGTGATTACCGATCACTGTCGGAGCACTGTCCTTCACATACACTAAATTTTTTACATCGTATTTCCATTTTAATACATTTACAAGATGTGCATCTCTTGCGGCAAGTACAAGTGGTAAGTTGTACACAGTGTTTTGCCACTTCCGGAGTTATTGTCCACACAGATCGGTATGATCCATCCGAAGTCACAGTCCATCCCCAATTGGTTGGGGAAGGAATTACGTATTGTGAATCGAGGCTGTTGTTCCAGATGCTTGCTTGAAGAGTAGCACGTTTAATATGTTGTGCTAAAGCATCTGCTGTAGGAGGAATGTTTTCGATCGCTCGATTCTTTCTTGTAAACAACACTCTTCTGCAGTCATTGATGTTCTGAAAATCTGATGCTCGATCATAAAGTAGAATAACAAATCGCTGCAACACAGCATGACATTCATCATCAATACCACAAAATGTGGAAAAGGTATCGCAACCAGAAGTTAAAGAATGAAAAGCCAACATATTCCTGCAAATTTCTGGCTAGAGTTTGGTACAAATCTCATGAATTGTAATGGATTTTCTGTGTTTCCCCAACCATACTCAATCCATAGTTCAATAATATTTTGTATTTGGGGAAACATTGATATTGAAATAACCACTACATCTGAGTCCATAGTTCGTATTAGAATGTGAGTATGTCCACTTTCTACTGCATGTTTAACATGCAGATAAGTAGTCGTCCATCTGCTTCTTCGTGTGAGGCGGAAGAAATGCTTGATACATCCATTGGTGTTGAGGTGAGGACTCGGTCATCATAAGTACAGACAATATATTTTTCTGGATACTCGTTTCTCACCATTTTCTCAGCTGGCAATGGAACAACTGTGTCTTGTTCTCGTTAACACATAGAAATTACTTAAATTTTTTGGGAACTGCAGTTGAATCTGAGACTTTAATACTTATGCCACTCTCTTCTTTCTCGAGTGTCTGCCTTCAAACTGTTGCTAGCATATCGGTCGAATGAAATATCTAGTCGTGAAATATTCCTCAGTTGATTAGTAAAATATGGTTTGAAAACATCTTCATAGTATCCGGAAAATGTACCACAACCAGGATTAAGTATGTGTATGACGGCTGCTCCAAAAGATTTTAGCTGTAACATCGGTTGGTAGTGATTAAAACTTATCTGTTTTCAATATTGGTTCGAGGAATAATTTCATGAACTGAATTTTGAACTTGATCAAGGCGGGACACGATAAATTCATCATACTGTTTGAGACCTAGAGTATATGCTTCCTTAACACACCTGACAGCTTCGACACTTGGAATTACCATAGATTAAAAAAACAACTTTAGAGCTCCCTATCGACTCCAAATCGTGTACATTGTTTTGGCACATTTTCAGTAACTGTTTGTTATGAAATAGAAGTTATATACACCATCCGAAAGCTAATCATTGATGAACAAAAAGTATCTGCTACGTTTTTAGCTATATGCAACGGGTTTCAAGTTATTCAGTAAAATGTTCCGATAAAAACCAAAATTAACTAAAAAAGATTATTTTGTTGCAATTATTTTCATAATTACAAACTTGAACAATAATGTATTTTATACCGTTGGAAAGCGTATTTTCTCCTTATTGATAATCAATTATAATATTGGTTGATATTCTGATACAAACCCGAGTTACACAGGTAAATGTGAAAGCGTGCCACAAAACTATAACGGCCATATTGATTACGTCATCAACGCCGCTAGAGGGCCAGAAAAATTTGTGTCCCGAGCTTTTTCAACGTGTCTACCCATGTACTATCTGAATCCAAAAGGGCGCATTGGTTGCCAGATGTGAAATTTTTTTTCGCTATCCGACCCCACTAGCACGTTAGACGTTTATGGAGAACGGGAAGGTCTTGGATCATTCAGCGCTGCTTATTTTACCAGATACCCTCGCTGTCTGATAAAGTTATTGTTTCCGCAAATATTCTAGGTGTATTACAATGACTAGGAGCACTAAAAATCTGTTCCAGGTTCTTCCATGCTTGCATCTTTGAGCCACCCATATTCCATTTCAGATTGAATAACTCCGCTAAAGAAATCGAACTAGAGAAGTAACTGATGTGATTTAACGCATATTATGCTCTGCTCAATTTAATTATCAACTCTGCTCCATCAGCTTATACTCTCGTTTCATAACTCTCTACTCTGAACTTGCTATATCATATATTGATAAATTTCTGTTGTTCTTGAACGCTAAACCATTTAAACTCTTAACTGAATTTCATCACACCGCCTTCACAAATTCCGGAGTAACATTAGATAAGGGTCCTTCCTTCCCTTCCAGGACAGGCTTCGGTCCAGGTTTGTATTGTTAATCACGATCAGAGTTAATTTCTGTGACCCTCATTGGACACTGACAAATCGATGGACACAAAAGTTGAATCAATGGGGATAAAAGTACACAAGTCATGGAAACCATCCATCCTTCTCAAAGTGGTCCAGATTTTTTCAAAGAAAAAACAAAATACACAAAGTGGTCGACCGACTTTGTGTATTTTGTTTTTTCTTTGATAAAAGTACACATTGCCGTAGTGTTCGCGAATCTGGAATCTGAAAAAGCGCACTCTTTATTCAGATAGTAAACAAAATGTTTGTTATTGATTTTTTTCTTCTTCTTCTTCTTCTTCTTCTTCTTCTTCTTCTTCTTCTTCTTCTTCTTCTTCTTCTTCTTCTTCTTCTTCTTCTTCTTCTTCTTCTTCTTCTTCTTCTTCTTCTTCTTCTTCTTCTTCTTCTTCTTCTTCTTCTTCTTCTTCTTCTTCTTCTTCTTCTTCTTCTTCTTCTTCTTCTTCTTCTTCTTCTCTTCGGGTTATTGGATGTCTCCTTACGGTAACAATTTCTCCAGATCAGGTAATTCATTTGTTTCAAGAATAAATACTTGGTTATGTAACATAAGACACCGATTGTCTATCATAAGATTCGATCGTGTATGTACTTCTCTTATCGAACAAATCCGTTGTTGATCCGGCCTAAATACTGGCGTAGAGATGATGGAGCACGTTTGACTTCAAGTATGACCCCCTCATCCTATGAATCCGTCATCATCCGGCCTCTATACCGGCGTAGAGATAAAAGGGCCTGGTGATTTTGATACACACTTGATAAACTCCACATTATATATTGGATTTTTAACCAGATCAGGTAATTTTGGCAACATTTTGGACTTTTACAAACATTAACCTGACTTGCAGACCAAGTGAATGCCATCTGATCACTACCACGATCAGAAGTCGCTCTATCTTTGTAAAGTGTTTTCTTCAAGGCTCACGATAGCCTCTGAATTATAATTTATATTATGTTCATCACCGTTTTTGTGATGTTGTTGCTCTAGTTCCTGTCCTGTATCCTCCTCATACTTTATCACCCTGTTGACGAGTTTGTTCCGGAAAGTTAGTGACTATTTGCAGTCTTGCTCTTGTGCATTTGAATAACAAATTTGGTGTAATAGGTATTCCGAAGTTTGAATTTTTTCATGGACGACTCAACATGATATTCCATGTAAATTTGTTCATAGCATTTGAATAATTTGAGAATTCTTAACATCATTTCGATGTTATACAGGATATTTCAACCTGTATTTACTCGTATATCATGATGAAAATAACTGGCAAAGTTCTTTAGCTATCTTTATTCTTTCGCATAATATAATTGATTCATTTTTCATTAAAAAAAATCACAACTCTCTGAACTTCTAAAAAACTTATCCATATTTTCACCTACATGAGTTGAATGAATTGACAAACATTTTCCTAATTGAAAGTGATACGTAATTTCACATATTTTGATAATTTGGTAAAATCTTCATAAAGTTTGTTCACAAATTGTTGGAAAATATACCTATTTCGGACTGAATTTATTTTATCCGAAACAACTTATAAGCGAAAATCGAATTTCAAAGTTAGGTACACATTGAAATATTTCTGCCATACACGATAAGAAAATGTATACTCATTGCGATAACCCATAATTCATGCATTATCATCTGATAAAAGAATCTCGTAAACAAATTATATCACAATGGAAAGAAGGATTCACATTATACTTACCTATAGTTTCAACATTTATCATTTCTCTAAAAATTTTTTAATATCGTTATACGTCTTGCCCTTGGTCTCTGGAACCATGAAATAAATGAAAACAACTCCAAGAAGGGTTCCACCAGAAAACATCCAAAAACACAATTCGATACCATACCAATGTGAGATAATAGGGTAACTCATCACAACCAAGAAATAAAATCCGAAACTAGAAAAACTCACAAGAGACGAACCGAGTGATTTGAATTTTGGCGGAAAAAGCTCGCTTGGCAAAAGGAAAGGTATACCCACCAAACCCACATTGAAGAAAGCCATGAAAAAAGTGAGCGAAATCACAGGTAGCCATGAGAAGCTTTCTATATCAAAGACCTCGCTTTTATCAAGATGAAAATACATACCAAGAAGCGTCAGTGTAAGAAAACAACCCAGTGTGGACACTAAAAGCAGTACTTTCCTCCCAACACGATCAATGAGAGCTGTTGCAGTTACAACCACAAACATCCTTACAATACCTATGATGACCGTAGACGTATACGTAGATAGACCAGTTTTGGTCGAGTCTAATATAGGACCCAAAAACGAGTTCACAACTTGCAACCCAGATATCTGCTGGAACACTGGCAGGGTGAAACAGATGAACAATGCCCTCCTCAGAGATCGCTCTTTGAACAAATCCCCCACAGTACCAACTTCTGTTTGCTTCTCGACATTTTTAGTTATCAGGTGAAGCTCTGCTTCTACATGTCTACTGCTTCTTTGTCTCAGCTTCATCAGTGACTTGGTAGCTTCAGCTCTGTCGCCTTTAGTGACTAGATACACAGGAGATTCTGGGATGAAGATGCCAAAAAATATAGCGAACAGTAAGGTAGGTACAGCACAACATATGCTGAGTTGTTTGACAGATAGATATGGGCCAATTACAAAGACTAGTAGGATACCCAGATTGCTGAACACACTCATGAAACTACCTAACATACCTCGATTCCCTAGCTCTGATATTTCTGTAAGATAAATGGGCAATATGGCGTAGACCACGCCTGTTACAGCGCCCAGGACGAATCTTACTAAGCAATACACCCTGATGTCACTAGCGACGGCTAGTATCGAGAAGCCTGCTATATTTGGTATCGCTAGCAGCATCAGGAGTTTTTTACGGCCTATGATGTCGGCTAGTTTTCCGAAGAAAATTGGACCGAATACCGCTCCAAGGCCAAACAGAGAGGTGAACCAAGACTGTTGAAGGGGTGTTATTGGAGTGCCAAGAGGGTTGATTACTGGGTCACTGTTTGTGAGGATTTTCAGCATGGGAGATGTCCATGTGAAGTTTGTGCTGCAAGAAATCATCAGAAGATTACCTAAAAAAAAAAAGATAATGATTGAGATGATATTATTTTTCTCCAAACGGCATAGAAAGTGGCTCCATACTACTATTATAATTGTGGTAGTAATAAGGATGATGTAAATGAATTTTTATTAAGAGGAAAAAACACTCCACCTCCTTTGAACTATAAACAGTATTTGAGATACTATTCTTCCAAACTGCAGAATTCTTTTGAACCAATTTTTATTCCCGAATCAAATGTGGGTATATGATTTCTGAACACTCTATATATCCGAAAACCTTCCTAAACTACAAACATATTGGAAACTTGATTTCTAGAGTTGACTGAAAATGATAAATGAGGTGCCGAAATAAGTATATACTAAATAGGTATTTGGATTTTAGGAAAGTATGCCGTACCTATAAACAACTTTAAATGCCTTTAGGTAACATTTAATAATGAAGCATCACTTGGTGAACGAAATTGAAGGTACAATACAAAAGAATAAACCAAGAAGACTTTTTTATGGAGCATTGATAATTCAACCAATTCAATAAACAATTCAAAGATAGCTAGGTTACAGCAATTAATAACATTTACCCTGTATAATCAATATATTTATACTCACTTGTTAATGCTGATAGATATAGGAAACTATTACCACCACCACCACCACTCGTAATATCATTTTTTGTTTCATTATTGTAACGTATTTTATTATCATGTTCATGTTCATTGATACCTTCTTTCGTATCCACTAAAGCTTCTTCAACCTGTTCCCTGTCTTCCATTTTGTTAGATTGCTAAGATTCGAACATAGTGATCACACTCCACCAAGCATCATGAGGAAGTTAATAATAATAATATGTTAATACGAAAGATTATAATAATTCAAAACAAAGAATATTATCAGTAAAATGATATATTGTTATTCTTATCATATTATATACTGTGGGATTGTGATTATAGTTTGCAAAAATTCCAGACATTCCTCTTGAAAAAAAAAACCAAGAGATAAATAATGAAAAACGGAACTGGAGTGATTGAATTAGCTGATGTTAACGATTACGACATTATATTTTCAGTATCTAATCATCACAAACAAATCATTTCTTACGCCGGCTGGAGTAGAAGTTAGTTTCTCTGGTAACAAAAGAGGGGCAGAAGTCTCGTATTATTGCCTAGGAAGATAATGTGACATATTTTCTCCCTATTGAATTTATACCAACTTAACATTTTCCGCCTACCTCTGTACTTTCTTTTCGGAACACCCTTCTTTGAAGCGAGTACAAGCTGCATCACACAGATTTCTAGATCTCACTGGTAGCAAGTAAAGAATCACTGCAGAAGCAGTATCAATAGTTTCTTGGGGTTTTCCCACGATTCCTTGTTCCATAACCGTAAACCATTTCCAAAGCTGTTTCCATGAATTTCAGTTTGATATTTGCTGTCACCATGGATTTACCACAAGATGCATGTTGTCAAGATACAAATTCCACAAACTATACTACTACTTATTATCTACCAAGTTATTGGATCCCCATTCGAGAATTGTTTGCCAAGTCCATATTTATGTTGTCAACATTCCTCCCTCGTTCGTTTCTGATTTGCCTGGCTGGCGGTATGGAGAGTAGTATCATCCGCGAAGCTGTGTACTGGACATGAAGTTGCTTCCAACAAATCGTTCATATGGAGTAGAAATAGTGTTGGTGCTAGAATTGATCCTTGCGGAACACCAGCATTTTTTATGAGAGAGTCAGATAAAATTCCGTCGCGCACTACATGGAGAGACCTGGTTCAGAGAAAACTAGCAAGCAAAGAACATAGCTGGGGAGGCAAGCCATAAGGGGAGTGTATAATCTCTGATGGAAGCTTGGCGAGGAGTCCGTGGTGCCAGACTCGATCGAATGCTTTCGAGATATCAAGTGCCAAGGCTAAGGTTTCACCATATTTTTCAATAGATTGCTGCCATATATGTGAGACGCAAGCGAGCAGGTCACCAGTTGATCTCTGATGACGGAAGCCATATTGTCTATCGTTGATAATACCTGACTGTTCCAGGAAGGGTCTTTTTGCCTTCTTTAGGAACTGGTTGTACTCTTGCAATTTTCCAGTTGGACGGGAATATCCCCAATTTGTAAGAGTAGTTGAACAACTACAGAGATTCCGTCGGAAAGACAGCTCATGTTTTCGCGATAAGCACACGTTATCTCTGGCTCGTGATTGGTCAGATTATGTGATCAGAGGAATAGTCATTTCAAGAAATTATACCATTTAGGCAAGAAATTCTGTCGATAGAAAACTATCTACATCTCAAAAGATTCAGTTCAGAATGTTATTGAAAACAAAATATTGATACGGGAGTGAGTATCTGTACTTATATGGAAACAAACACTGAATATTCCTGTTACCACATTGTTTTCACTTCGTATATTATTTTATTTGATTGTTTATACATCCAATATGCCTGAAGCCCAATTACAGGAGAATACAACTATCGTATCCTAACCTAGGTGTGTATGAATAATGATTGTGTATGCCAGTTAAGAAGTGAATTGGATATTTTCGTTTTGAATTGTGTTTAATTCTGAAAAACCGCCAACCGTGGTATATTGAGATTTAAGGAGAATACTAAGGTTGAGGAATCGATACTGGTGTTTACAATTTTATATAGGATACTGTTTGTTTTTTAAAATGAAGGAACTTTGCGATCTTTTTCTGTACAGACTCTATGAGATTGATATTATTTTGTTGACACGGGTTCCAGACAGTGCTGCAATATTCAAGTTCACTTCGGACTAATGAGAAATATACACTTTTGATAGCATCAACAGACTCGAATTCCTTTCAATTACGAGTTGAAAAACCCATCGTTTCCATGGCTTTGGTAACAATATTTTCAACTTGATTAGAAACAGTGAATTTATTATCAAACATGACACCAACATCTTTAGTATTCAACACACGGAATAAAATAGTATTATCTAAAGTATAATCATATTCAATTGATTTGACCTCTCTAGAAAAAGTCATTACCTTGCATTTATGATATTTAGATATAGCTTGTTTCGAATACACCAGTCATTTAAAGAAGAAGTCATTTTGCAATGTCAAACAGTCCGATCATTCTTAACCTCTCTATATTATATCTTCATATCATCTGCATACAGTAATTTTTGAAGGAAAATGAAATTCTTATTCAACAAATAGTTGCCTATCCGATAGAAATGATTCGAGAACGCACTGGATTGCCTTTGAAATACCAAAATAGGATGATTTTTGCATGTGACTCTCTGTCAAATGCTTTACTGAAGTCCGTATGACTTCAACTTGACGTCTACTTGTTTCCTGGTGGCGAGGAAATTCCATTTCGATACGAATTCAGTAAAGGTGACAGTAACTAAGAGAACCATCAAATGAAATGTTTTCTTGGATATATTCTTTTCATCGCAAATTCTTTTTTGAAATAATGCCAGTAAAGAAGACACTTCCGAAAAAAGGAGTGTTTATCAAACAAGAAGCTGTCAAACGAGATGCATAAAATCACAAATCGCTGTATCCGAAAATAGCTCGAACCACTTTGATATACTCGACCTTCAATACACACAGATCCTAATAATCAAACAAATAAACACAATCCGTATTGTTACAGGTGCTAACCAAAACATTCCATGATGCGAGACTCTTAGTATCTCAAGAAACAACAACCCAGCAACATGTCGACCGTTTGGAATAACACGACCACCGAAAACATCATCAACGACAACGCAGTGCAAGTAGCTTTCTTCATGATCTACACCACAATCTTCGTTCTAGGCATCTTCGGCAACGTCCTAGTGTGCTACGTAGTGTTCCGCAACCGGGCTATGCAAACTGTGACGAACTTATTCATCACCAACCTAGCTCTCTCCGACATCCTGCTTTGTGTCTTGGCAGTGCCCTTCACTCCCCTTTACACCTTCCTTGGAGAATGGGTGTTTGGGAGGCTCATCTGCCACCTGGTATCCTACGCCCAAGGAATCAGCGTCTACATCTCCACGCTGACCCTAACCTCGATAGCCATCGACAGGTACTTCGTGATCATCTATCCGTTCCACCCGAGAATGAAGCTGTCCACTTGCATCATCATCATAGTGATCATCTGGATATTCTCAGTGCTAGTGACCTTGCCGTACGGGGTATACGTCAAGCTGAAGTCGGACCAGGACAGCGATAAGTTCTTCTGCGAGGAGAACTGGCCTAGCGAGGACTGGAGGAGGACCTTTGGAGGCATCACCACGGCCATGCAGTTCTTGATACCCTTCGTGATCATGGCGTTCTGTTATATCTGCGTGTCTATCAAGCTGAACGACAGAGCGAGGACCAAGCCGGGGTCCAAGAACTCCAGGAAGGAGGAGGCGGATAGAGAGAGGAAGCGCAGGACCAACCGAATGCTCATAGCTATGGTGGCTGTTTTCCTCATCTCCTGGCTACCTCTGAATTCCAACAACATCGTCAACGACTTTTATCTGCAGATGCAGGACTGGGCCTTCTACCATTTGACTTTCTTCATCACTCATGCCATAGCCATGTCTTCGACGTGCTATAATCCTTTTTTGTACGCTTGGCTGAACGAGAATTTCAGGAAGGAGTTCAAGCAGGTTTTGCCCTGCTTCGATGGACCTGCAGGAAGGATGGCTTCATCTTGCAGATTCGAGAATTGGAGATCGGAAAGGACTTGTAATGGGAATGAGACTGCGCAGGAGTCGCTTCTGCCTTCTTCTGGAGTTCACAGGTGAGAAAAGGCAATTCCGAATTTGGTTTTTGTTGGATTCACAAGACACGTCAAGGAAACTGAATGAAAGCTTTGCGGACTGGTTGATTATTCAAATAAGAGTTTGTTCATTCGACTTTCTCAGCCTCTGTTATATGTTATGGTGAAAAGGAAAATAATTTCTTTACTCAATCACTAATGTGCAAAAGAATAAAACATCAAATGTTCAGTTATGAAAAAAAAATGGAATTAAACAAAATGATATCATGTATACAAATTGAATAAAAAACAATAAGAACGAGGAATTGAAAACAGAATTTGAAAAATCTATACCATATACAGGGTGAGTCATAACTATTGGGACATCAAAATATAGCGATAGAACCGAATATGCCTTAATGAAATATTGCTGTGGAAAAAGATACAGGGCGTTTAAGTTCAATATTTTGTTGTTGTTGTTTGCTAATAACTTCTCTGTATATTTATCAATTGTTATCAAAATTGGCAGAGGCATGATTTCATACAGAGACTATTATTTTTAGTATAATTCTACAGTTTGTTACAGGGGGCGCCACGTGAATGATGCCTGATGATGAAATCGACTTTTTAATGAGACTTTCAGTAATTTTGATTGAAAAATATTACATAAACATTGCGTAATATTGGTACCCTTGTTTGAAAAAGATATTTCCATTCGATTTCAAGAAGAACTCAATTGAATAGTTCTCAAATATTATTTCATTGATGAAGAGTGTACTTCAGACTGTCAGATAATTGTTGCTGGTGAATTTAATTTCTTGTGGTGCGAGTATATGGTCAATACTTTTTCGATTGAAACGCCCTGTATATTTTTCTACAGCAATATTTTATCAAGGCATATTTGGTCCTATCACTATATTTTGGTTCGAACAATCCGCCCTCAGCCTATGTCCCAATAGTTATGACTCACCCTGTTTGTATAAAGTACAATGCCATGTCGACATTATTGAATGCATTGAGTGGACTTGCCGATTTCATCATAAAAAGATGTCTGCAAAGAAACACCGATCAATCAATCAATACATTTATTGTTAACACAAAACATACAGTTTTATAAACAAGAAATTCGGTTATACATATACAATAATCAATGTGGCCTATTCTAAAAAGAAAGAAGAATGAAACAAAAAAGAAATCTCTTCCATATTAACCTATATCTATACTATATACTAAGATGCATATATAGGAAGGAGAAGGAACATATTTTAATCATATGAGTTTCAACTGATTGAGTACTTTCGGCATATTCGCAAATATTCTGAAAGATATCATTGTACTTTTATGGGCACATTTCTGTTTGAAAAGAGAGTAAATTCATATGATAGGTAGATGAAATCATGAAACATGAGCTTCAGTCTCTCAGGATTATGTAAAAAAAATGCCAAGTACTTTTTTGGTGTTTTGTGGAGCAGTGGAATTTCGAATTGTATTCACAAGTCAACGGAAGAGTTATCTCAATAGACTGTAATTATATCCAACTGTAAGGGTCCTAAACACCCTGAGTTTTCCTCAATAAGAGTCAGCCTGTTCAAAATAATATCGCCTCTGTTTCGTCTTGTATCGACTTCATTTTAATGTGCGTGGGCTTAATTATTCAGTTCCTAGTTTCTGAAAACTTTTGCAATATCAAGTTCTACAACATAACGAACCTATATACCAAACAACTTTCGTTCTTATTGAAACCAATATTGGGCTCTAGTTTTGGCATTGAAAGTTAGGAGACATTATTTCCAGGAACATATCGTTTTCTCTGATAATCATTTCATTTCTATGAGCATTTTGTTATTGTTGTTGTTATTTCAGGATCGGGTAGATCTTGCAAAGTTGTCACTTGGTGATGATGTTGATGAAAGTTTTATATATGAACCTTGAAGAAGAACGACAACCATCAAACGAAAATTCATTTACCTCAGCTAATGTGTATTAATAATTCTCCAGAGACAGTAGATAGCATCAAAATAACCAAAAATTTCACAGTTTGCTGCATCTCATCCGTCCGAATACAGGCTTAAATGTATTAAAGAGTTGAATACAAAATGCATATCGAGAATGAAGTTACCTTTTATAATATTATGCTCATTTATCACAAATATAGCACTTAATCATCCCAATGCTAAAAGCCACCGAATCTCAGACTTATTAAGAATACTTTTATCTACTCACTTCCTCGAAAGTTAGCATTTGCTCCCTCCTTTAAGGACAAAAACTTGTCAATTTACTCCCACGGGAGGAAACAAATATTACCTTCTGTGGGAGGTAAAAGTAAGTCATTCATCTGACCACAGTGGTGATACCAAAATGGCTGACTCGACTTCCATAAGAAGTTAATGTGGTAACTTTTGCTGGGCAGGTTTGAAACGTGACCGATATCATCAAACAGCTGGCTGGTCAGACTGATATGGTTAGACGTTAGAATTTATACTGAATGTGAGTGCCTGGTCAAAGCACAGACTTGACACAGCCTTATAGCTTGCTTCCTTGGTAGAGATGAGATCTGTGCTGCTCCAGTACCTGATCAGTTTCTCCATCACTACTCTAAAACGAATAACAATTTCATTTTTGAACTTCAATGATCGCATACACTTCCTCATAATATATTCCAAACTAGTCAATCGGAACTTTGAAACTTCGAAAATTAAATTACACAAACCGCGGGAATCAATGTCACCAGGTGGCGCTCAGTTTTCATCGTTCCATGTCGAAGCCACGTGAAAACTGGGGGAAAACAAACTCAATCCTCACTCAATTTCATTAGTGCCATTATCTTTTGTACTGTATACTGATAAGAGTGATAACACTATTTCATTTACAAGTTTGACAACTACAGCTACAGCAAGATGTATGCAATGTAGTCTATGCACTTTATCCATAGACAACAGTTTGTTTTCCCCCAGTTTGAAGTTCGTATTATGTAACCTAGATGTCGCCCACCTCGTGAATCTCGCGAATAAACAAATTTAATGTGACAGAAGGTCAATGTCAATGTTCAGATGTCTGTAACCTCAGATGATGTAACACATTGATTTCAATCGATTGAGACTCGAGAGAAAGACCGCTTGAAACACTATCTTAAGAACGACGCTCTCAAATATATGCATACGTTCGTATATAAAATTAGGGTCCCTTGATGTAAATTGACGGATTTGTCATCTAAACAGGGTGCGGACAGATCATAGCTTCTTTCTCTTTTAATGATCTAGTGACTTTGGTTTTGTGTATTGGCGTCCCTGACATGACATTGCTGTCACGTCATATCCATAGGCGTTAAAAGAAATCTTACAAAATTTTGATTAGTACCGTTACCACCGATACAACATCGGTGGTAACGTTAGTACTCAATCGATACGACATTATTCAATTATGTTTTGGAAGGATGGTAAGATGTGGTGCGTTAGGCAATCAGTTGGTTGGCAAATTTGAAATTGTCACCTTTCCAACAAATGCAAATGAACTTAGAACATGGAAAGTGAAGAAACCAAATTTGGAAAATCGGTAAATACATCAGCAAAATATTTTTCTCATTGTGCCTAATTATCCACACCATAAGGATTAAAAGAAGAGGCATATGCCCTACCATTCAAAAAATTATACCTACATTGAGAAAATATAAATGTTCGTAAAAAACTGCAAAAATGATATACCTAACATGAATTTATAAATATACAGCACACATGACATAATATGTGAGCACATTAGTTTGGATACCTACATAAGAGTTTTCACCATTAGAACAGTCCCATTTGGTGAAACATATTAAACTTCCAGAAAAATTGATCATCACTATCTCAAAAATTATGCTGTAGTTGAAATATCAAAAACTCAAAAATTATTGATCATCATTTGGATATAATATGTAGAGTTGAATCAGGAATGCCAAGTGGGAATTACGTATGATACGCCAATGTCCTCAATATAACCTAAAAAACAACAATTGTCAGAAATGAATAAAGATGGAACTATATAACTGTTTCACAAACATTTTAGAGTTAGAGAAGACGAAAATCTGTCCGTACCCTGTTAAGATGACAAATACGTCAATCCCTAGATAAAATCATCTACGCGTAGGGTATCAAACTCCACACGCGGGAGGGAAGAGGGAATATATATATACCTTTGCTGATGCTAATGGGCTCTGGGAGAGTGATTCTGATCGGAAATAACCATCCGGCGTTGCTGTTCGCAGGGCCGTCTCCATAAGGGAAAGGAAACTCACCCCGCCGCCCCCCCTGAAGACCGACAGCGTCGAAATGGAGAGTGTGATGGTGCCCACCGTGGGGGTGGTGTACGATTCCGCCTCCGACATAGTCAGACTCAAGCTCATCGCCGAGGAGGAACCGCCCCCATATGAGGCGGCACCACCAGCAGACGAGTAAATGTGAGTTGAATCCAATATTGAATTGATTGAGTTTATGAATAATACTCACCATCACATGATTTCCATCATCTGAATTTTGGGATTGGGAAGACTACATCAGTGGTTCTCCTTGACGAGAGATTTCAAGATTTTCTCAATCTTCTTGTGATGTTTTGGTACTTGTCATATACAACCTTCCTGGAGATATATACACTTCTTTCGTACTAAAAGTCCTGAGAAAAAGAGACGAACTACAGCAATAATTGCATACAGTGTGTTAAATCATCACCAAATTTAGTACTAAAAACAACTCGATTATGAATACCCGTGATTACGTCATCGACTCACCGAAATCACTTCATTGCAGAATAGGTATAATGTAAAATGATAATATCAAAATAATATTAAGCCACAACACAAATAACCAAATAAGACGCCAGCAACAAAACCTCATGTGGATGCTGTCGCCCTGCAAATACCAATGGGAATTGGGAAGAACACAAGCTGATTATCAACCCTTCAAAGAAGGATATGGTTGATTATAACGTGATTATAACCTACTGTTCGTTTGTCTACCAACTATGACAATGAACGAGCTGTAATAATATATTAGTTATAAATACTATTCCTAGAGTTCGATTTGACTAATTTTTACAAATTATTGGTTGTACCTCAAAAATATTATCTAAACCAACTAATATTTTTGGTTGACGTTGAATTTGTTCATGTACAATTTTTCCTGAATTGTTTTGACGATCACCTAATCATTGAATGTACCATCATTGTAGTTTTATTCAACAATTATAATGATGTTTTTGATTAAACACATTTTTTTGTCAATTCAACCCTTACTATTTCTTTGAGTGTATACGGCAGTACAATAAGGAAGTAGATATCGATCAATTAATCGGACAATGACATGTGTTTTCAGCTCTTAGACTAAAACCAAAACTAACCTAACCTGGGAATATTCAACTGATTCTGAAAAAGATGCTCAGTCCGCATACATTGAATTTTCATCAACTTTATCCACTACGGTATACGAAAGCATTGTACTACATAAACAGTTCTATATTCATTTTTATGATTCAATCCACATTCACAGTAGGGATGAACTCATTTTGGGAACCCTAACTCAGACAACCGGATGAATTCCACAAATTAAACCAGAATATTTCAATGGAAGTGTAAACAATGTTAGTCAGAATTCGAGGGTTTAGCCAAGTAAATATTAGAATTAACGCTTCTTGATTCCACCGATTCCATTATTCGTCTCCGAAGCTCCCTAGTTGGGATAAAATCCTGTGTTTTTTCATCCCAAAAGTTTCGTGAACGATATACCTACCGAGAAAAATGATGAATCTAGATTTGAGATCCTATCCGAAGTCGGGAAACATACAAAAAGCTCAATTTCATTAATTTCCACACAATGTTGATAAAATGAAGAACAATGGTATATTTCGGAAGAAAAACAACTACTGGACTGACTAATGCCATGCACACAGAACATGAATTACATCCTCTCGAAATCTATGCATCGACTTGTATAAACGAATACTGATACAAGTGATTCCTTCCTAAGACCGCCAGTCTTAGGACTGCTGGTTGGGGACTGCCCTGCACTGATGAGAGTCAAAGAGCTCGAAACCGGCCTGTTGGTATCTAGCGTGGTCCTACTGAATCGAAATCAATAGACATTGTTATATTATGATCACAATTCCATAAACACGAGCACAAATGACGTGGACAAGGGTTACACTTGCTCTTAATTCGGCTGCTTGCCAAACACTAGCTGTATGAGCCAGTCTTCACACATGTCTGTCATAGGCTCTGATCTAAGCACATTCCACTGAGCAGTAGCGCATCTAGTTGCTAGATGCTAACAGGCATCCAGGAAAGAATCACTTGTATCAGTATTCGTTTATACGAGTCGATGCATAGATTTTCACGCTGGGTTGATAGTGACGTCAATATGTCAACACATATACAGTGTTGCCAGTTGAAAGGAAATGACTAAATGACCAACCGCCCAAATATGGATATGTCTAGTGTTACGATCGTCGGACGTTATAATGTTTTTTGGAACCAACTCAAAACCCGTCCATTTTTGTTTCAAAACCAGCACTCGAAGTTGATAAATGAACTTCAATATTTGTGTTCAATGAACCATGCACCTAAACAATATACTGAATATGAAATGCAATGATGATGAGATTCTTTTGAAGAATAATAACTTGAAGAATGATTTATTATATAACAACATCAACAAATAATCACAGATATTGACAAAAACTGATCAGTATTCACATTTACTGAGTGAAAATAATGAAAACTTCGAATTCAATTTTTAGGTTATCTAATCGTTTTGAATGTTTTTCAATTACTATAAATTGGTGACATGAAATAGAAATTCGATCAGTTGATTAATTTCGTGATAAAATAAATAGGGATGCATCTACTTATATTGGAAATTATGAAATAGACAACAAGAGTTGTTCTTGCTTCAATATTTTCAATATAATTCATGAGGAAAACCCACAAAAACTCATGAAACCACTATGTCATTACAATAAACTGACACAAATCATATTTGGATCATTCGGACAACACAAAATATCATTATTAATAACATCATTCAACTTACATCTCTCACAGCATTCAATGGTTTAGGCATTTTGAATAAATCGATTTTCACCTATGATCCACAAATAAATCACAAACAATTCCTTGAAAGTACAAATTGTCAGTAATGAATAATTCGCAGAGATCAGCTGATCACAACAAATTGCTACTAGAAATGTCAAATAAATCTGGCATCGGTGTACAGTTTTGCCAACTTAAATCGATAACGCGGTTCGCCCATTTTGAAAGTTACTAGTATTTTTCGATGTGCAGTTTTGGCACGACATTGTTACCAAGTATTGCGCAACTATCAACCCAGCGTGAAAGCCCTTTACTATTGTATTTATTTAACATTTCAGAGCACTTTGAGCATATTGTGGCTATTTCGTAGTTGAAAGTCAGGAAAGTTGTTCAAATTGCAAGTAAATCACACTCACCTTCATTTGCCAAAACGATTTTTCTATGGCATAGACCAGAAACCACAAAACAATTAAGCGTCCCCTTGCATGTTACATTAAATATTGAAACGGTTCAAGTTATGTCTTCGAAGTCGGGTAGAAGTCTATTAATTCTTAATGGAATCCGGAATCCGGGATTGGATAGGGATGTAATCTTCCGTGAAATTTGATACTCTACTGTTAATAGACTTTCATTGTAGTAGGATTGATATTAGTACTTTGCCACAGACGAGGACCTAAGTCGTCACCTTATTTTCCAAGATGACATCAGTGATAAATTATTCACATGGTATACCCTGTATGTCCGGAAATTAGGCGCAAAAAATCATGATGCAATGAGAAATTCATGTTTTATGTATGATGGTCTGGAAATGCTTAACAACAACATACAGTGTGTTGAACTTTTGAAAGAAAATGTTTTTTTGTGACGGCAAAAAGTTTGGCATTTCATTTCTGTTGGCAGGTTAATAACTTCTTTCCCGTGGGAAAAAAGTAAGTACTTTTTTCCCGCATATATATCACATATATAAACACTGTTGATGGCTTTTGTTATGCTATAGTTCCGAAAAATGAGTCAATAAGACCGTCTCCGAGAAAGAACTGCAAGTCCTTTCATCTTCCATTTGACTTCGCGGTTACGTATATTACTAAACAACCACTAAATTCGCAATTTTTTGAAATCAAATCACAGAATTAGACTGACAAAAGTGACATCAGATATTTGATTACTTCAAAAGATGAAGATGCCTACAACGCAGGTGTCCCTACTGTTAGGAACTTGAAATTTCACGTCGATAATTTTCAAGATTTCAAAATAATGTAATATCTTCCCAATATTGATTCGTCCTTTCTTCTGTCACAGAAAAAAATAGTGTATTATACACGGGAAAAATATTAGATTTTAGCTCACGGTTTTTTGTCTCCCTCCGCTACGCGTCGGAACCAACATAACCTGGAGCTAAAATCTACTACTGTTTTCCCTTGTATAATAAATAAATATTTTTTATGAATATCTCAAATATCATTCCACCGATTTTCTTAAAATCCAGCAATGCTGCTGATATACCCATAATTCAATTGGAATTATGGAATCCATTGGCGTACTAAGGGGTAACCTACAGAATATTATTGTCAATAAAATGTGCGCCACTGGTTTTTTTAAATTCTGTAACTTCATAAACTATTGAACAACTGAAAATACAACATTTTGATTTTCCAAATTGTTTCGATATTCTGCCTAATTTCCATGGAAAAAAATAAATACCAACTTATTGCAATTTGTGCCAAAAAAATCCTTCAAAGACTGGGGTGGAAATAAATGCGTGATTCATGTCCATGGACATAGAATGATAATGAAGACCCAATTTCTTCAAATATTTTATGATACATGTTCGACACACTTTACACTCTGTATATTAAGAACTACCTATGTATTTTCGGTCCAGAAAGACTTAGTTTTTAATGAAAGAAAAGTGTGTCAAACATGTAATATAAAATATTTGAAGATAATGGAACTTCATTCTTATTCTATGTATATGGACATGGATCACACATTTATTTTCACTCATGTTTTTTAAGGAATGTTCAGCCTAATTGCTTACAATAAATTTGTATTTATTATTTTCCATGAAAACGAAGCATGATATCAAAACATTTCAGTTGACCAAACCCACAGGACGCCACTAGATTTCACGAATCCAACTCAATTATGGCTCAATCAACCGTTCATGACAAAGAATATCATTGCAAAATTGAAAGCGAATCAGTGAAAGAATATTTGAGATATTCATGAAAAACCGATTTTTTTTGTAAAGTTTAACACACTGTATTTTGAAAATTTTCCGGACCCACGTATATATAGAATAAATTGCATGTTTTCTCATGCACAATCACTCTCCTGATTTTTGCGCATAAGTTCCGGACACCCTGTGATAAATACGT